GATTGACTAGGAATAGGTACAGAGTTTCTTTCAGGAATGACAGAATACATGGAATTATATAATGATTTTGGTTGTCCAAGTTTTTACCAAGTACACTAATTATCACTGAAATTACACACTTTTAAATTGTGACTTTCAAGTTATGTGACTTATCTCTGAATTTTAAAAGTATAATCCGCCGGTGCCGCAGCTCAATAGGCTAATCCTCCGCCTTGCGGCGCTGGCACACCAGGTTCTAGTCCCAGTTGCCCCTCTTCCAGGCCAGCTCTCTGCTGTGGCCCGGGAGTGCAGTGGAGGATGGCTCAAGTGCTTGGGTCCTGCACCCCATGGGAGACCAGGAGAAGCACCTGGCTCCCAGCTTCGGATCAGCGCAGTGCGCCGGCCACAGCAGCCATTGGAGGGTGAACCAACGGTAAAGGAAGACCTTTCTCTCTGTTTCTCTCTCACTGTCCACTCTGCCTGTCAAAAAAATTTTTTTAAAAAGTATAATCACACTCACAAACTAATTTTTAAAAGAAAATAGAAGACAATCACTAATGCATCCACAACTCTGAATGAAAACACAACCGATAAAGTGGAAGTCCCTTTAGCCCCACTCAGCCCCCTCCACACCTCACTCTTCAGATAAGCAGAATAAACAATCCTGGGCTAGGAGAACTAGTTCTTCTACCTCTCCTGGTCTGCAGTCATCAGAGTTCGCATGCCTGAGCATCTCATAATCATCTGCTAATGGGTTTGGATTTCACCTCTACTTTCTCCCCCTACTGAATCCTGCAAGAATCAAATCAAATTCCAACTCATGCATAAAGAGAAATACAGCTTTGTAAACTTTTTCTTACTGCCACAGAGCAGATATATATATAGACAATCTACTTCATTACATCTTGTCTTCTATGAGAGAAAAGCACCAACAACCCCCACCCTGCCCTGGGCAGCACAGAAGACAAACTGGGGGGGACAGGATAAAAGGCGAGCAAATGGAGGTCAATCTAAGCAAGCAACAATGGAGATTCAGATAAAAGTCCACGACTGAAGACGACGGAAAAACCATCTGAGAATACATCAAGGAAATACTTTCAAGACAAGGTGAGGCAGTCATGCAAGCTGCACTCACAGATCTACAAATAAAATGTTAGTTCTCCTCTTTCCATATAATAAAAAATAGTTTATAACAAACTACAGTGCAAATGCTGAATGAAAATGAAGGCATTTAAAATTGTCTAAACAGGAGCTAGTGCTGTGGCTTAGCGGGTAAAATCACAGCCTGTCACGTCAGAATCCTATTTGGGCATGGGTTCCTGTCCCGCCTGCTTCTCTTCCAATCCAGCTCCCTGCTAATGTGCCTGAGAAAGCAGTGAAAGATGGCCCAAGTTCCTGGACCCCTGCCACCCAAGTGGGAGACCCAGATGCAGCTCCTGGCCCCTGTCTTCAGCCTGGCCCAGCCCCAGCTGTTGCAGCCATTAGGGGAGTGAACCTGGAAGACCTCTCTCTTTCTCTAACTCTGCCTTTCAAATAAATCTTAAAAAAAAAAAAAAAGTCTAAACATACTGGGGAAACTCCACACACTGTATGTCAAGCCACATATTTTTACTGTCTAAAGACCATCTGACAATCAATTAGAAAACAAAAAGGGCAGAGAACATGAACAGAAATTCACGAATGGTCAATATGTGAAAAAATGTTCAAATGTACTTGTAATCAAGGAGTGAAAAAAAAAAAACCTTTTCCACACATTAAATTCAGTTTGGGAGGTGGGGAGTGGGTGCTTGGTGTAGTGTTTAAAATTTTGCTTAGGATGCCTGCATCCCCTATTGGAACACTTGAGACTGGCTCCTCATTCCAGCTTTCTGCTAATGCACACTCTGGAAGGTAGCAAGTGATGGCTCAAGTGGTTAAGTTCCTGACGTTATGTGAGAGTTTTACCTGGCTGGAGTCATCTGTTACAGGTACTGGAGGAATGAACCAATGAATGGAAGCACTCTCTTGCACTCACACACTTTCTCTCCATCTTTCAAATAAGTAAAATAAATAAAATCTTTTCTAAAAAAATAATAGGCCAGTGCCGTGGCTCAATAGGCTAATCCTCCACCTGCGGCGCCGGCACCCTGGGTTCTAGTCCCGGCTGGGGCGCCGGATTCTGTCCTGGTTGCCCTTCTTCCAGTCCAGCTCTCTGCTGTGGCCCAGGAGTGCAGTGTAGGATGGCCCAAGTCCTTGGGCCCTGCACCCCCATGGGAGACCAGGAGAAGCACCTGGCTCCTGGCTTTGGATCAGCGCAGTGCGCAGGCCACAGCGCACCAGCCACAGCGGCCACTGGAGGGTGAACCAACGGTAAAGGAAGACCTCTCTGTCTCTCTCTCTCTCACTGTCCACTCTGCCTGTCAGAAAAAAAATAATAATAAGTTTTAGGTGAAAATCAAATACCATGAAGAAGGGGCATGTTTTCTGTTTTAAAGAATTATATGGGGTCAGTGCTCTGGAGCAGCAGGTTAAACCCCTGGCTTCTGGCATGGCACCCCATATGAGATGAGTCCCAAATGCTCTACTTCCTATCCAGCTCCCTGCTGATACACCTGGGAAAGCAATGAAGAATGGCCCAAGCCCTTGGGCCCCTACACTGACATGGGAGACCTGAAGAAGCTCCTGGCTCCTGATCAGCTCAGCTCCCGCTGTTGCAGCCATTTGGGAAGTGAACCACCGGATGGAAGACCTCTCTGTCTATCTCTCTCTGTAACTGTCTTTCAAATAAATAAAATAAATCTAAAAAAATTTTTTTTAAATATTTACTTGAAAGGCAGAGTAGCACACAGAAGAAGAGTCAGAGACAATCTTCCCTGCTGGTTCACTCCCCAAATGTCTGGGCCAGGCCAAAGCTAGGAACCTGGAACTCCATCCAGGTGTCCACATGGGTGGCAGAGGGCCAAGCACTTGGGGCACCTTCTACTGCCCTTCCAGGTACATTAGCAGCAGGCTGGATCAGAAGCAGTGAAGTCTAGATTCAAACTGGTACTCCAAAATGGGACATACCACAATGCAGGCCCTGGCGAACACTTTTTCTAATTCTAATTTACTGTTTTCACTCTCACATCCCTGTTGAACTACAGTAATCTGCTTTCCACTTCCCACTTCTAGAACTGTGGACAGCATACCAATAACCAAACAATAACCTCCATGTTGTCAATTCCATTTAATACACATCTCAGCCACCAATAAGAGGACTAATTCTCCGTCTTCCAGAAACATACCCCTCTCTTGGCTTCATGACACTATGCTCCTTCTTTTTCTCTTAACTCACTGGCTGTTTCTTGGGTCCCAGGTTCAACCTTCTTCCTCTACCAGACCCAAAAGAATTTCAGTTAATCCTTTTCACTTCTTTCTGCATTCTTTCCATAAGTGATCTTACTAGTCCCATACCTCTAAATGGCATCCATATTTTGATTATTTCTAAAATTTTATCTCTAGCTCTACAATTCCCCATATTCTACACACACACATCTAACTGCTTCAACATACCCCATAACTAATATGCAACCCAAATTTTCTATTATTTTTATTTATTTGAGAGGGACAGAGTGAGCCTATGGGATGCCCCCTCCTGCCCCCCATCTGCTGGTTCACCCATCAAATGCCTACCAATGGCCCAGGCTAGGCCAAACAGGAAACCAGGAGCCTGAAAGCCAGGATACAGGATCTCAACTCAGGTCTCCCATATGGGTGACTGGGCCCCAATTGCTTGTGCCATCACTGCTAACTCCCACAGTCCACATCAGCAGAAAGCTGATGTCAGGAGCTGGAGCTGGGAATCTAACTCAGGAACCCTGATGTGGGACATAAACATCCTAACTGGCAACTGAACCACTAGGTCAAATGCCCACCCCTGCACCTCAAATTCAACACATCTGAAACAGAAGTCATCATTTTTACCATCTGAAATTTCTCTCACTGGGCCAGCGTTGTGGTGCCACAGGGTTATGCTGCTGCTGTTGACACTGGGATCCCATATCATATCCCAGCTGCTGCGCTTCTAATCCAGCTCCCCCCTATTGATGCAGATGATGGCCCAACTGCTTGAGCCCTGGCCACCCACAGGGGAGCTCAAGATGGAGCTCCTGGTTCCTGGCTTCAGCCTGGCCTAGCCTAGCCTAGGGCCCTGGGGAAGTGGCCCAGTGGATGGAAGAGTTCTCTCTCTCACTCTGCTTTTCAAATAAAAAAAATCTTTAAAAAGTTTGCCTTTTTCTTTCTCATCTCAGTAAATGGTGCATCAGCTGTTCAAAACCAAAATCAAAACAGCAAAGATTCCTCCCTTTCCCTCACCAATTCATCTCCAAGTCTTCTACATTCTACCACCAAAGTATTGTTCAATCCTTTTAATCCTCGTCCACCTCCAATGCCATGGGCCTAGGCCAAAGATACAGCAAACAGCAACTTAAAGGATCTCCGATCTTCCACCCTTGCCTCCTCCTCCACCCAGTCTACCAACGATGCTACCCACCTACCTGTAATCTTCAAAGCCTTCCCAGGAGCACTGAACTACTAACCACTATCTTTGAGAAAGAGATCCACAACCAAAAATACACACTCGGTGGCAGTATCTCTAGTCAGGAAAATCAGCGGTACTTTTCCCTCACTTTGCTTGTCTGTATTTTAAATTTTTCTATGATAAATACTTGCTACCTATTAAGGGGAAATGATATTGCTGAAAATACGGACTATCCCATCGCATTTTCTATATGTTACCGAGAAAAGGGAACAGAAAGTGTGGATCCACTCTAATGGTTAAGAAACCTGTTCAGATGCAAACACTCGCAACATGTATCCTAACTCTACGAACGGCTGGTCAGAGCTGGAGAAATACCAATGGTATTTTTCCGCCTCTACTTCTCATTTTGTAACATAATTACAACCATAACGGGGGTGGGGGGCTGTTATAAAGTCCATCTCTCCGGGGCCCCTCGGCCCGCACCGCCAGCCCAGCACAGCCCCCCAGCCGCGCTCAATCCCACCTGGCCGCGGCGCGGGCGGGGGTGGCGGACGCAGCTCCGAGGCACATTCCAACATTCTTTTGCTAAACCCACAACTTGCTGGGGCCGGGGCCAGATCTTCACATCTGTCTTCAATACCATGGGCAGACCGCCAGGCGGAACGCCCCAAAAGCGCGGGCCACCGCGTCTTGGAGGCCGTCCCCCGCCCCCTCAGAGAGCGCCGGTCCTTTTGAAAGGAACCCCCTCAGTCCGCGTTCCGGTTCCCGCCTCCGACGCTCCAGACACGCCGCCCCAGCCGGCTCCTCGCGATTCACTGCTCCCGGCAGCCACCAGCTCCCTCCCTGCCCCCTTCCTCCGCCCCGGGCTCGCCGGTCCGGCCTCCGCAGCCGCGGCCCGCGGGATGGGGGAGGGGCGCGCACGTGCCCGCGCCACCCCCGCCCAGACAATGCCCCCGGGAGAAGCGGGGGGGCGCCGCCCGGACCGGGCCCCAATCCCGCCTCCCCGCCAAACACTCAACCCTTTCTGCTTGGTCCCCAGGCGACGGCGCCAGGCCCCGGCCCCGCTTCGGGAAACGGGGCACAGGGAAGGTGAGGGGAACACAAAGAAGACCCCCCCAACGGCCGGCCCCCCCCCCGAAGGCCCCCGGGGACCCCCCCAAGCCCCCGGAAAGGACACCAGCTCCGAGGGGGGTCTCCCCGGGTCGGTTTCCGCCCTGCACTCAACAAAATGGGCGGTCCAGAGGGCCCGCCCGAGGGCCGCAGTTCCGCGCGCGAACGCGCGCGCGGAGGCCCAGGGCGGAGCTCGCAGAAACGTGGGTGGGGCGGGGGCGGGACTTGCAGGGATGGGGGCGGGGCGGCGCTGCCTGGGCTCTGACTCTGGGCTGCGTGGCCCAGCTGCCTGGGGTTGCGGGCGTTGGTTTTGGCAAAGGCACTGTCATTCATCATTTTCCTGCTAAAAAGATGGCGCATCCCAGACCCAGGCTTAATAGAGTGTTCATTCTGCCGGCATTTATGAACTTCCATGGTAATAACAACAGTGACTGATTTTCGTGTGTGCCTTCTCTTGGCAACCTCTGAGGGAGGGATGCAAACAGCTATTACTAACCCGTTTCATAGATACGGAAGCTGAGGCTGGCAATTATGTCCTTTCTAGGTCACAGAGCTAGTTAGTGACAACCCAGGAAGTCGCTGTCCCCCTAAATAACCCTTGAGGCCAGTCTTCTCTTTGCTTGTGCTTACTACCCTACCCAAGACACCACCATGTCTCTGCCCAAGCCTTCAGTCGCCTCCCAGCTGGTCTCCAGGGACTACCTGTTTCGTCCTTCTCCCCCATGCCTTCCAGGCACTGTAAACATTTACCACTAGAGTTTAGTGGTGATTGTAGGGCAAAAACTTTATGAATTTTTTACACTCTATCCATATTATCATATGCTGAAGTATTTGAAGTTTAGGATTTACTCCTGTGTCCCCAATAACAAGCTCAGTGCATTGCACATCGTATGTGCTCAAAAACTCTTTGTCCAATATATGAATTGGAGGGACAAGAACTAACTCCCAAGCCCGGCATGACGGGGCAAAAGAGGAGTTTATATTACGTCACCTCTGGCCTTCTATTAGGGATAAAAATAGATGAACAATATTTGTTCAACAGATTTTTGTTGCATTTCTATTCCGCATTTCAAGCACTATGTTAGGCACTGAGCAAACAGAGGTGGGTAAAACAGGCTCCTGCCCTTATGACATTTTCAGCCTAATTATCACTTGACCGGGAAACTTAATCTAACTGAAAGGTCAAGAAAGACTTCCTGGAGCCTTAAGCTAAGACTCAAAGTCAGAAATCGGGGAGATAAAAACAAAGGTCACGGAAGGAAAGGGAGGGTGAGAGGTCAGGATGAGTGTGTGGACATTCCTCCACTCTTGGGGTCTGACCATGAGCCAGAGGCATAGAAATATGCAGCTAAGCGCTGAGCAAAGTGGATGCCCACACCACTGGTCTGCTGGGGAGTGCTGCCAAACTCTGGGAAAAGGCTCCCACTGAGGGGGCTCAGAGCAGCCGTGGTCCTGGAAAGGCTGACATGATGTGCTAGGCCTCCTGAGCTTGCAGGGAGAGGGCAAGGGCTCCAGACTCCCTCGTCCTCTCCTTACCAGACTCTCTCCATGCAGAAGGTAGCATGTGAGAGCCGTGGACAGGGCACTGGGCCAGGAGCCAGCTGCTTCCAAAGCAAAAGCTTAGTAGTGGTCAATGGATGGGCAGGGAATGGCCGCAGAATGTGGCTAGGACCCCGAGGATGGGCAGAGTGGAGGCTGCCAGCAAGAGCTGGAGTGCTCCTAGCTCAGCTGGTGATGTTAGCAGAGGTTGTAGTGGGGTTCTTGTCTTCACGCAAGAAAGAACTCAGACGTGAAACAGAGAGCAGTGGTAAGCAAGGTAGCAAGGTTTCTTGGGGTAGGGCATCCATCAGAACGAATGGGACAGAATCTAAGAGTCACTCAGATGGGGGAAAGCAAGGTTACGTGGTTAAATGGAGAGACTACACCTGGCAGGCCAGGTGAGCAGCTCCTAGCAGAGAGCTGGCTGAGCAGGAAGTCTGTGTTCAGACTGGGGCTTATAAGGGAAAGGGGTCCAGTTCTTCCTGCTGTTTCTCCTCCTCCAGGGCAAAGCATTTGCTGAGTGTAAATTGGGAAGATTTTCTCCCCAGGTTTTACTACTCAGTGCTATCAGATGGGGGGGGGGTGGCACAGGCATGGGCACCTGGCTGAGGCACTTCCCCTAGGGTGCCTGCCTTGGAGGAAGGCCGAGAAGGTTTTATTGCTCCATGTTATTGGGCCAGGTAACCCATCTGGTGCTGAAGAGAGAGGGTTCTCCTGGGGAACTTCCCTTGGGGGAAGGGCTTTGACCACCTGCTAAGTTATCTGCATCTGGGCAGGACTTTGTAAGTGTAAAATACTGGGCTGATTCTGAGGCTGCTGCATTCTTCTCCAATGAAGCTTTGGTTTTCCTCAGGCCCCTTCCACACACATAGGCTAATTTCTAGCTTCCTACCTAACAGTGAGAGGAGCAGGGGTAGGGAAGAGGGGGTGAAAGATGAGCTGTCAGACTCAGAAGGCACCAAAGCAACTGGGCATGTGCTTGCCAGCCCTTTCCCTCAGCGGCTGAGGCTGGCAGGGCGGTGGTGGCAGGAGTGACCCGGGACATGTCAGCAGAGACCAGTGAGGTTCCAGGCCACACCTCCCAACTCCACACGCAAATCCAAGGCCCCTGCTGCTGCTGCCTCCCCCGAGGACTCCCCTGCACCTCAAGGTACATCTCTACATTGTGCTATTTTGAGGAGTTCAGAAAGGACTGCAATTTTGGTTGCTATGCTAATAGTCACTCAGAATGAAACCATCTTAGGCCAGAAGAGAGAGACTCAGATAATTTTCATTGGAAACTTGACATTTAGCCCACTTCCCAGTATGAGAAAGCTTGTGTCATTTAAAGGGAAAGAATCGGGCCGGCGCTATGGTTAAAGCCCTGCCCTGAAACGCTGGCATCCCATTTTGGTGCCAGTTATAGTCCTGGCTGCTCCTCTTCTGATCCAGCTCTCTGCTATGGCCTGGGAAAGCAATAGAAGATGGCCCAAGTCCTTGGGCCCCTGTACCCACGTGGGAGACCTGGAAGAGGCTCTTGGCTTCGGATCAGCGCAGCTCCAGCCGTTGCAGTCATCTGGGGCATGAACCAGCAGATGGAAGACCTCTCTCTGTGTCTCTACCTCTCTCTGTAACTTTTTCTTTCAAATAAATAAAATAAATCTTTAAATAAAAATAAAGGGAAAGAAACTGGACGCACATTTTTACACATATGCATGCAGAATGTGCATTTCAGTAGCAGAAATCAAGCTCTGTTGATATAGGGAGGCAGATAGGATTAACTTGATTAGATTCATGAGCTGAAAGCCAAGCTCCGCTTCTATGTGATCTCATCTGTATCCGCTCACCTGCCAATCAAAATACATAACCACACCCCTTTTGGAAGTGGATAAAAGGCTAGGGAAGCACACAGGGTCACCTCTAGGTGTGAGGCCTTTTGGCAGCGCCTCACCTTGTTTGCTCACCCTGTTTGCCCATGCTCTGTATGGATTTGTGGTCACTTCTACCTGTGGGGGTTTTTCTTTCCAGGCCGCTCCTGCCTATGAATGCCTGAACATGGCCCTTGGTCTGCTCTCTGCCTGGTATGAAACTCCTGGTTCATTTTTCTGATCACCTTCTCCCTTTTATAAAGCCCTCATCTTCCTGTGTATTTCTCTGACTCTAAATCAATTTTAAACCTTACCATGTCATCTGTTTTATTTGAGCTGGTATTTAGAATTCTTATCTAAATACATGGCAATGGCCTTCAAATATTAATCTTAGAATGATTAATAATTTTAAATAAAGGTAAATTATTTCATTGTGAAGGAAGCGGGCAGGGTGCTAAGAAAACTCAACAGAGTGGACCAAAAGACTTCCCTGGAAAATACTGAAATTGGAAGGAAATCCAAGCTGTTGGGGTGGACAAAGGCTGAGGAAAGATGAGAAGGTAACCAAGCTCCTGGACCAAGGGCAGAGCTGGCAAAGGATGGGGCTGGGAGGCAGGCAGGAGCAAGAGCACTATGTCACAGCACCGGCCCCCCCATTCCTTTTTAATTTCTTTATTGATCCATTGATCATTCAGGAATATGTTACTCAATTTGTAAATTTTCTATTGTTCTTGTTGATTTCTAGTTTTATCCCTTTGTGGTCTAAGAAGATACATAGTATGATTTGAGTTTTTAAAAATATACTTAGACTTTGTGTCCATTCTAGAAAATGTTCCATGTGCTGATGAGATGAATAGGTATTCTGGAGCTGTTGGATGAAATGTTGTGTAAATGTCTGTTAGGTCCATTTGCTGTATAGTATGGTTCAACTCTGATAAATCTTCATTGATTTTCTATATAGATGACCTGTCTATTGATGATATTGTGGTGTTGAAGTCCCCCACTGTTATTGTATTGGAGTCTGTCTTTACCTTTAGGTCTAATGATATTTGCTTTCTGTATCTGGGTGGCCTTGTATTAGATGCATATATATATTTATGATTGTTATATATTTTTCCTAAATCAATCCTCTAATCAATATATAATTTCCTTGTCTTTTTTACAATTTTTTATTTAAATTCTATTTTATCTGATATAAGTATAGCTACTCCAGCTCTGTTTATTTTTGTCTCTTATTATTTATATTTGTGTTTGATAATTTTCTGTCATGACAAGGTTGGATTCTCTTTTCCTTCTTTTTTTTTAAGATTTATTTATTTATTTGAAAGTCAGAGTTACACAGAG